CAAAATTGTTGTATACCCAAAAGTTTTTCAAAAAATAGATTTAGAAAATGTTTGAGATGTTCACTTTTGAATTTGTATATAAGAATTTTCATTACCAAATATTTAATACTAAATTATTTATTTTGTTTTGTTTTTAATGGCTTAGTAATAAACATATTATATATTTTTTATAAATTAAATTTAAAATATTGCAATGAAGTTAATTTACAGGAGTGTAAAAAATTTCGTCCAACCGCGTGTGTGGCACGGGTCAAAATACTAGTATATATATGTGTGTGTGTGTGTGTGTGTGTGTGTAAAAGAGAGTTCAAACCTTGTACTTGAGACATGTGGCGTATGACATGGCAAAATTCTTTATCCACATGGCATAGTCTCATCATTTTATTGGTCCAAATGGCATTTATTAGTTTATTTTGTATTTAAAAAATATTCATGATTATTGCATTTAATTACCATAAATTTGTATATATAAATTTTTTCATATTCTAATTTTTTATTAATATGTCTTTCATCAATTTAAAATATATTTTAATATCTTATAATTGATTAATTACTTTTTAAAAGGTTATATAAAATTTATTAAATTTTTTAAAAGATAGCTCTTTGTATAAATTTTTACACCATTTCCCTTTTATTCCATTTTAAAAATATAGATCTATATGAAATATAGTATATTTGCGTCATTATTAAAATTATAAATTTATTTTAATACAATTGCATAAGCATTAGTTAAAATTGTATTTCATTTCTTATATATTTATTCACTGTATCTACTATTAAAAATATCATATTTAGTAGTTAAACATATATGTATATGCACATACCAAAGTTAAAATATATATTTTTATATTCAATGTCTAATGCTTTTGCATAAACCTTTTCATTTTTTTAGCATTATATAAATATTCATTTAACGAGTTTAAAATTTAAAAAAAATTAAGCTTTCAACTATTCACCATTTTTTTCTTTTTATTACCTTTCAAAAACATTAATTATATAAATTTTAGAGCAGGAAAATCATTGTTAAAATACAAATTTTATTTCAAAAAATATTGTATCTAATAGTCTTGCTACTACAAGATATCATATCCAAATTTTAAAAAACAAATTAAAATGCATATCATATTATTATTAAAAAATTAAAATAAATAAGATTAAATTTTAATTCATATTATGTTTATATATTAATTGAACTTTTAACAAACATACAAAATGTTAACATAAAATATCTATGTTAAGATATAGATATATTTTACGGGGTAAAAACTAGTCAATTGAATCTAAAGCAACAAAGCTGCAACAATCCAAAATTGAAGTTCGGATGAATTTGAAACCAAACAAGGTTAAAACCTCTCCATCCCCTACCATTCGTTCCTCTTCCATTCCCCTCAACCAAACAGGCTTTAGCCAAAACATGGCCCGGGGTCCGAATCTCGTTGACCGGTCAAAATTGGATTTATTAGAATCTAAAATGGACTCATCAATAGGTTTAATGATTATGTTATTCGTAGTAAACCAATTGGCCGAAATTTTCTTCTAGTTAAGATGCCTAAGGACTGAATTTCCTTGGGACTTCTCTGGAATTTGAAATGCAAACAAGTATTTACCTAAAACTGTACTCTGTACAAACTCATTTGCCCTGTTTTTATCTTTAGTCTGTTCCAAAGTTTGATTAATTTGCTAGTATTATTTTTATAGGCAAAAGAAACATCCCATCAATTCAATAATAGTGTAGATACAAAGTCAAGAGGAAACAACTCCCAAGAACCGGGTTCATCAGTTTATTTTCTAATTTTACAGAGTATATCCCAAACTTTTTCTCATTCACCCTATATACCATTACTGCAATTTTTTTTAAAAAAAATAGAGTAATATAATGACATCGTTCATACAACGTGCTATGAGATTAATACAGTATATCAAATTATATATGTTTTACTATGAAACAAACAAACAACGGCAACAGCAACAAAAATAACCCATTTGAATCCTATAAAAGCATAGTCTCGGGAGGGTGTGGGTACGCAGATATCCCTACTGGAAATTAGAGAGGCTGTTTCCAAAAACATAAAACAAATATCACGTACGCTACCTATTCTCGTGTCAAAAAAATAAAACAGTTGTTTCCGGATGACCCGTGATGAGCGTCGAAAGTTTCAATGATTAACTGCTACTTCACTATTAAAAGAAGCGCAAACAGTTTTACCCCTAAGCAAAAAGAAAAAGAGAATCTTTGGCTCCACCTTAGATGATGGAAAAAAGGCTCAAATTGCATCAGTTTATTTTGGGAGGGAGTAATAGTGAATGCTACAAAAGGCTCAAATTGCAGCAGTTTCTTATACATTTTGCAGACCTAATAGAGGCTTTCCAACTCGCATAGGAAATGCCCACAGCTTAAACATTGATTCTTCAGTGTCTTCTTGATCACTATCAGAACTGCAAGAAGATCCAATTATGGAGCCCGATAATATATAGTCAACAATCTGCACAAATTAGTGATAAATAGTGAAAAAGAAGGGCAGAGTCCAAATTAGTGAAGATTTGACATACCCATATGACCTGTCCTAAATTGTAATGAGGCGTAACGACTAAGAATTGGGTTATTCATTGCATCAATACATGCCCAAAAGAAAGTACCTGTTGGGTTGAAACAGGTTTAATCACATGGTAGCGACACCCCTTGCTAATGTGTTTGTTAGAACACTTGCCATTATTAAGCCAAACTACAGAATGGCAGTAACTGCAGTAGCCCCTCTGATATGTTAGTAGCTTTTTTGATGACCAATCTGAATGTGAATAAACAAAACTAATCGTGAGCGGAGCCACGGATGGAAACCAAATTGGCAGCAAATAAATACAAAAAAAAAGATCAGTATAGTTGCAGGCACAGGACAGATAATGGGGAGTTAAGAAGGAATATTTTCCCCATGGCTATACATTTGTAGATTTTAAATGTACCTTTATAAGCTCTCTTGAAAGCTTCTTGCCAGTCAACAACACTTGTCGCAGTGTTTATTTCTTCTTGACAAGTGTGTTGCACATTCTGAGATGATGTGTAGCTTCTAAATCCAATGTCATTTGAGAGGTTATTAGAAATGCCAAAAAAGTCTGTATACATTAATTGCCAAAGACGGTTGTCACAAGTTGCTCCTCTCCATGACCTGACCAGTTACATGCTATTAAGCTGCAGCAGATTAATTTTACCCAAATTGATGATTGCTCCCTTGAAACTATTGGCTTGTTTTCTTATTAGCTACTACAACTATGATATTGGCATAACATAATTGAAAGGGTAACAGTACCGGCAAACCGATGCAGCAGATAACAGTGTTTGTAAATCCAAAAAATGGAAAATGTGTGCAAGAACATCTTGATGAAGTTGTATAGAACCTGAATGGCACAACACAATAGAAGTCAATAAGCGGAACCCCACAAATTTGATTTTAAAAAAAACATAAATCAATTTGTATAACAACTTTTTATGACTAACATGGCTGTTCTTCACACGTGCAGTACTCTTGCAAGTATGAAGTTGTTAGATTTAATCGGGTTTGTTCACATATTACTTATAACCGAATGGGTAATGGGTCAATGTTCGAGTCGGTTAGTATGGTGTCGTTTAGTGTGTTTTACATATTTAATTAATTTAAATAAAAAACAGTTAGGTAGTTTCTAAAAGGCAATTATGGGTAGTTTCCAATGTTAATAGGTGTGTTGGTTTGTAATAGTTGTGTTGGTTAGTAAGAGTTGTGTTGGTTTGTTCTCTATTTATATTAGAGAACACAATGAATCCTGTAATGGTACACATCAATAAAATATTCTACTTTGCTTTGATCTGGTCCTGTCTAACAGAAGTGTGCTAGAATTCCGCGAGCAAGTAATTTAAGGTAATGTAAGGTCTCTTTGAGGAAAAGGGAAGAGTTCACATAAAAACTACCATCTTCATCACAACTGGCCTTGCAATGCCTCTTATGAGCAATGATTGCATGTTTAAATTCTTTAGCAGCCAAATTCCTCTTTTGTTTTGGCAAAGCAACCTCCACGCTATGCAAAAGGGAGTTAACTGCGGATATTGAAGCTTGCATCTGCATTCTAAAGTTAACAAAATCAGCAACAGTGTCCCTAAAATCTACTGCCAGTAGCTAGTCGGTTTAGCAAGAGAGTAAAGAATGCAGCATATAAAAGCATACCACAATATGAAGGAATCTACTTTGATAGATCTTATCTAGATCCTCTTTCCGAACAAAAATGAAAAAATATATTTTCTAGATCATATATGTTGCAGAATCAGAAGACCAAGATTATAGATTAAAGAATCTGTAAATCAATACTCAGAAATAAGATTTTATTTAACAACCATATTTCTGCATTATGATTAGACTATGGATTATAAATAGCACGACCATCTTAGAATAATCATACAACCACAACCACAACAGGGAGAGTGAACCTAAATTATGCTCAAGCCGACAGTGGGAACTGCATATTTAAATGTTCATCAACAAACCCATAGCTAATTTATCTAACTCCATATGCGATTCAGAATAAGTAAACGACTAATCAGATAAATCAGACTCGAGAACTACTGGGAGGAGATGAGAGACATACTCTGGAAGAAGGCGAAAGGCGAGGAGAGTGTCTTGGAAGATGAGAGACTGAAGATTCTTGGGGAGTTGAGAATATGCGTTTAGGAGGATGGAGCTCAGCTCATTGCAAGCAAGTGGGAAACGATGGGGTCGATTCAAGGCCTCCCTTAACCCTAGTTCTTCGTATCTCTCCCATTCAGATTGCTCCATTCTACTGGATTCCAATGTGTTGCAGGTCTCCCCAAACTCACATTCACAGTACGGTTGTGAATTGTACTCACAACAAAAAGCAAGTCCAACACTTGACATTTGACATTATGTTAATATTCCACTTATATTCTTGATGAACAAATAGCATATATTGCACTTGGAAAAAGCTATGTGTACACCATATGTGTACACCACTTGTACACCATACATACCCCTCCCCCCTAACTTTCCATAACCCCCTCCCACTACTCCATCCCCCCACCTTTCCATAACCCCCTGCTCTCTCTCTCTCTCAGAGATTTCTCCGACGAAGCATACCGGAAGAGCATCCCTTCTCCGAGAGCTTCTCCTTCGTCTTCCCCGTTCTTCCTCTGCAGCAACCCCTACTTCGTCATCCTCCATCGAGTGCTGGAAGATTCAACTTGACAAAGAGCGCCTCCGGCCACGGTAAAATAACAAATTAAAGATAATAATAAAAAATTATATTTCAATTTTAGAGTTTTTATTTTGTAAATCTAGATTCAATCGCTCAATCCTTCCCTTTTGTGAAATTAGCCTTTGTTTATGTGTTTTGTGAATCATTGTTTCTTGAACTTTTTCAATTGTTTATTTCCTTTTTGAATCTTTTTAGTTGCTAATTTTTCACTAATAACATGTTCTAATTAGGCATTTTTTATGTTTATTACGAAATGTCTGTGTAGTACTTCTCACAGGTGTAAAATGTTTGTATTCTAATTAAGAGTATTCGATTTCAAAACTTGTTTTGAAATGTCTATGATGTGCTTCTTGCTGGCATAAAATGTCTGTATTTAAAAAAGAACTCGTTCTATTTCATAAATTATTTGAAAGTGTTTGTGAAGTGTTTGTTACTGGCATAGAATGTCTGTTTTCCAAATAAGGGTGCTCAATTTCAAAACTTGCTATGAAATGTCTCTTAAGAGCTTCATTGCTTTTTAGAGTGTATGTGAATTACTTACTCATAGATGAACATTGTTGATGACATTTATTTTTTCTAATAGATTGAGAAAAGTGCACAGATTTCTTCGGACCATGGCATCTTCCTCTTCGACTTCCAACTACCGTGTGAAGAAGGAGACAAGGAGACAATATGAAGCAATTTCTTCCAACTTGAAGATGGCGAAGCCTGAATTAGATCTACGTTATGGTACGGTAAAGTGTGATTGTTTGCCTCAATCAAGAAATTGTGTAATTCGAGTTGTGACTCACCATGAGAAGCCAAACAAAGGTAGGCTTTTTTATACTTGTGATCACTGTGGGTTTTTTCTTTGGTGCCATCCACTGAAGGCTGAATTTCGAGGTGAGCCACTGCCAATTGATAGCTCTGTAATGGGTCAGTTTGTTCGAAACTACGGAGAATTTGAGGAGGAGAGCTATTTACATGAGAATGCACGTGGAGGTCAAAACGAAGTGAATGCAGTTGTGCCCTGTGAGAATCATTCCAATAGGGGCGTGAATCTATATCAAACCATAAACCTCTTTTGCAAGTTGTTGGGTCTTGTTGTTGTTTTGGTTGCTCTTTTGAAGTAGGTTGATGTATTTAGTAGTGTTCTTGGGGCTGTGTAGTATTTTGAGTTGTTAATGTTCAAGTACTTATGTACCAATGTTGTATGACTTGTATTGAGTGAATTTGTAAAATTTGTGTAATGGAAGATCATTGTTTTGTCATTGCTTTTTATGGCTTGTATATTCAGTTTTATGGCTTGTATATTCAGTTTTATGGCTTGTCCAAGAAAAACATGTTACAATCAATGGCTCTTCTTCACATCACATGAACTGGTATTCTGGATTAAATGCAAGAGCCTCGAGGTAAAAATGGTATTCAGGCAGAAACATGAACTGGTATTCTGGAAAAAATGGTTAATGTATGTGAACTCCTACTCACAGACGCAGAATGTCTATTTTTAATGTTAATTGCTTGCATGATTCGTATCATGTATTTATCTTTCTGAATTTTTACTTTTTGTTCTTGTATTATGAACACTAAGTTCTTAATTGCAATTTTGCATGTTTTGAAAAAAATGGTAAATGTATGTGAACTTCTACTCACAGACGTAGAATGTCTGTTTTCAATATTAATTGCTTGTCTGCTTCATATCATGTATTTAATGAGACGCTCAAGGTGTTTTGAAGCCTGAAATGAGAGGCTTATTGTCATATGTTCAACTAAGTAAGGAGTATGTTTTGGTCACACAGACAACAAGTGTCTGTAATTCATCGTAAACAGAAACTTATTGTCTGTAAAACCTAAATTAAAAATTATATTTCAAATATACCAAATAATGCTATAGTAAAGAATGTTTCACAATTACTCTTGATTGTAAAAAAGAAAAAATTTATAATTACCAATTTTTAGTTACACAAACACTAAAAATCTATAATTCTTTATACATAGACATTTATTATTTGTGTAATTTAGAAGAAAATTTCACCCTTCAAATCTATGAAATAGTACAGTACCAAGAACATTTCACAAATTTTTCTACGTTTAAAAAAGAAAAGAAAAATTACAATTAATACTATTTAGTCACACAGACACTAAATGTCCTTATTTTCTTGAACACAGACATTTACTATTAGTGTAATCTGAATACAACAGCACCACCATCTCTGCCATAATTTACTGCTCCGGTGACGACGACGATGATGATGGCGGCGTTGTGACGCTTCTAGGCAGCTGCGGGGAGGAAGATTAAGCTAATCGACCGGTGGGGAGGAAGAGAGATGCGAGATCTA